TTTTTATTCTGTTTCTATAATTACATTAATATTTTTAAGCTATTTATCTAATTTTGCAATAATGGCCTATATTCATACATAAAGGCTCTTTATTCTATATTATTAGAAAATTTATATTTTAATAATACAAAGATATTTTAAGTATTTCAGTGCATAAATAATAGTTTCATTTGTTTATTAAGAATTTTTATAAATTATTTTGATAAATTTTGGGGTATTTAAATAGTAGCCTAATTTCTTACCTATTTTCGAACCTAAACTACCCAGACCTCAGCCCAATTACCCCAAACCTTAGCCCAATTACTCCAACCCCAAATCCAGACAACTCCTAATTCCCAACCCAGTCCAAAACCCGACCCCAACTCTTCTCAAATCCCAACCGTTGATAAAAAATGATCAACGACTCATTAAATTTCCCCATCTTTCCTTATATCCCTACCCCAAAACCCTAGGGACCATTTTCCTTTACAGCCGCCCTCACACGCTCTCTTCTTCTCTGTCAAACCCTAGCCGCTGTAACCCTTAACCCTCTCCGATTCCGGCTCAAACAAGGAATCAATCCATGATCTACTTACCTATTTCACGATACTCTATCATTATACGCATGTTTATGGTATCACTTAGTTCTTACCCTATTTTTGGCAAGAACTACTTCTCAAGAACGGGCCGATTTACTTTGATTCTGTGAAGATCTGGACGATCTTTCGTCTCTATACATGTTATATTGATGGTCCTTGCATTTTTGGTCTGATTCAAGTCGTCAATCTCAACTAGGGTTTGAGATTTTTCCTTATTCTTTACTGATTTTCGATTGATATTCTTCCCTTTCTTGTGTTTGACTGATGTTTTCCTTATTTTGTTTAACCTATTGTATTTCCCTATTTTTTTTATTTTTTATTTGCCCTAATACTGACTCTAATTGATTTTCGTTGCTATTTTTTCTTATTCTATGTTCAACCTATTTCCCTTATTCTGAGCGCTATTTGATTCTTGCGTATTATTTTTTTATTCTTTGTTTAATTTACTTAACTTCCTTATTCTATGTGCTATTTGCCCTAAAATTAATTCTAATTGATTCTGGCATATTTTTTCTTATTCTGTGTTTAATTTTTACCGTGGTTCCTATTTTATGTATGAAATATACTACTATATTAACCCCTCTCATGAATCCCCCTCAACAAGATTTGAATCTTCGAATCCTTGCTATTGTTTTCACTACTCTCCTCTCTTACTCACTCACTGGCACACTCGGACACTCTCTAAATTGTTGAACAACCTCCTCCGGTGCAAGCACTGCTTGGAGCCCATTCTCGAGGCTCTTGTGAACTCTGAAGCATCGGGGATTTTGGGTTTTTGCTATTATACTCTTCACTATTTTGATTCTACTACTGATTAGTGTTTAAACCCTTGCAATGCTTAATTTCTTTCCTTCTTTCTGCATATGTATTTGAACTTGTATTAGCATGATTCAATTATGATAATGTTCAATTTCAATGTCGATTGGTTTTGTACCCTGTAGTATCTTAACCTGTTTAATTTTAGAATTAAATAGTAGTCCACTCCAATATGAGTCTGACTATTGTGGTTAAGTTGCCAATTTCTGCATATTGTGTTTAGATACTACCCTAACTCTATGGAAATCCCCTTTTACTCGAATGAACCTTTTGGTACTAAGTCCTGTGTATATTGCAATGCTCTTTAATACTGCCCTTAAGTCTGTTTTTAAACTTGTTTCATACTATCCTGGATTTCTAAAAGACAAACACTCTATTTTCTAGGACTCTTATGCTAACATGTTTTCTAGTATGCCTTGGTTCATCTGTTGTTCTCTCCTTTCTGTGGTTATGTGTATCCCTCCATTGTGTTCAAGTATTGATTAATATTGTATTAGGTTAGACTTAGCTTAATAGACCCTTAGATGTCCACTAGTGCAACCTATGTATGCTTGCAAACCTGTTTCTTCTCCTAATTCCTATGATGTTTGTTTATGTGATATTTCACTATGTGAACCTTGCTGAACCTACTGGCTTGCTTGACCATTTGTGCTGTATGCTCAATTCAGTGATCTCTGTCTACCCTCCTTACCTATTATTTTGATATTCTAAATTCCTATTCTTAGCCGGCTGAAAGCCAAGGCTATCTAGGTTCTATTGTTGGCCTCCCTAGTGTGAGCACTGCTCGGGGTCCAATTGAGGCCCTTGTGAACTCTAACACACTAGGGCTAGGTTGTAGTCATTTTCTCAACCTCCAAAACTGTCCCTAATACTCTACTTCCCTACCATGTATTGTGTTCTATACTGGTTAGTCCAAGTGGTGCAACACTTGGTGCTGTGGTTCACTGAAAGGGGTCTGGACTTCCCTATGAGTTTGTGATCATGTGATTTCTTTGTTGAAGGCTTAAGTACACTATGTCAGAAGTATTTAAGGCCCAGCAAGGCTGGTATTTAGTTGTTTTATTTGGGGCCTGCTATAGGCCTGTTTATTATCATGTAATATTACTAATTTACTTATTAACTTGGGTCTGTAATAATATCTTTGTATAAACGATTTGGGTGCTAGTAAAAGGGGATGTGGTAGATTCTAATATTAATATTCAAGGGTAGAAAATATGCCCACAGGATTCATGTGATTTACTTGACTTGTTGTATATGCCGTTTAACTTCCACTAGTAGAAACTATACTTTTAGGAAACTCACACACACACATAACTTGTCCACCATCAAAGCACGGGTATAAATACTCTATTTATTCTACTGCTATGTGCTACTAGACAACATGCAGGAAATAAATGCCAATGAAATTTCTTTTGATTTGTATGACTATAGCATATTCGTTAGATACCATGCCGATAGGATCTCACTAGTTTATGTTTTGTTGATTTTNTGGGTTATAAAATCAAAATTCAATTGTCAATTGCTAGAAATCCTGCCTATAGGACTGTCACTCGCTTAATATTATCCGCTTGTCAAGGCTGGATTTCCAGAATTATCTTCATTTGTTTAACTATGCTACTGTTAGATATCATGCCCATAGGACAATGTCACTTTTCTAAAACTGGTATCTAAAACCACCGTTAACAGTAAATGGTCTACTGCTTCCTCGCCTAAACCACTAAAGGCAGTAATATTTGAATCCAGGTCACCTAGAAATCATGTCTATAGGGATTTAAGTTCTTTAATCTTGAACGGCCTAACATGAAAATCTGTTTTCGCGTGCATTTGTTGTTTAATTGTGGAGGTTAATTTGAGCCTTTGATTGCATCGTTTGTGAAGTCCAATGTGTTTTGTATGTCGCCTAATTTTTGATATTTTCTAAGCAACCTAAGTAAAGTCTAAAACCACCCAAAATAAAGATCCAACTCCTCCTGGACCATAAGCACGGGACGAATAGTGCACGCATAGGTTACGACTTATAATTGAACTAGTGCGCTTTAGGTAACAACTTAAAGATAGTAATCGGGTAGCACGAGATGATAGTCTTTGCCCGCTGAATAATATGAGTAACACCCCATTTAGAGGGAGTTACGAAGTATTATTTATGTTGCACGGGGTGACCCTTTAGGCTAAAAAACTTAGGACCCCCCATCTTATTTCCCTTTTACCTTATCAAGTGTTTGTATTCATTTACTCAAAGTCTTTTATGATAATAAAATTCCCAAACTTTGTGCTCTCTCTCTCTCTCTCTCTCTCTCTCTCTCTCTCTCTCTCTCTGTTTATTTGACTAATTCATATAATTCAAGTTCGGCTGGGACCCACAGTTGTGGACCTCGAAGAGTGCCTAACACCTTCTCTTCGAGGTAATTTCGAGCCCTTACCCGATCTTTGGTGACACAAACTAGTTAAACATGAGTCATTTGCAAATAGGTACCCTAACGCACCTTAAAATATCGTTAGGTGACGACTTTTCTCTTTTAACCCTTCCTTTAAAAGAGTTGTCACACGTCGAAACCCGCTTTCGCGAGAAAATAGGGCGCAATAGGCCTGTCAAGAACACCCATGTCCAGAAGATGAAAGTGACGGAAATGAGGATGCTGAAATGGATGTGTTGGCATACCTGATTGGATAAGACAAGAAATGTTGATATTCGGAAAAAGGTGGGAGTGACTCCTATAAACGACAAGATGAGGGGAGCTAGATTAAGATGGTACGGGCATGTGAAGAGGAGGTGCTTAGATGCCTCAGTGAGGAGGTGTGAGAGGTTGGCAATGGGAGAGCTGAGAAGAGGTACAGGGAGGCCTAAGAAGTATTGAGAGAGGTGATTAGGCATGACATGGCGCTACTTCAACTTACTGAGGACATGACCCTTGATAGAAATGTATGAAGGTTGAGAATTAGGGTAGAAGAGTAGGGGCTAAGCGGGCCCTGTCTTATTTTCATGTCTTATTAGTGTTACTCTCGTACTTTCATTTCTTTGTATCCGCATATTTCTTTCACTATATGTCGTTTCTTTCACTCCGGCTATTATATCACCTTTGCTTGCTATGGTTACTACTTGTTGTTTCTACTTCCTTTTTAGTTTTTTTTTCTTCTTAAGCCGGGGATCTATCGGAAACAACTTCACTACCTTCAACCAATGTTATTAGACTGTAAATATTGGTGCTAACACTATTATAATTTATATGGGGATTAATAGTCCCCAATGCATCCGCGGTCATGCAGGCTCCACAGAAGGGCCGCACTTCCAAAAGGTGTAATGTAGGTAGCCTTCTCATGATGCATATATCAATGACTGATTCAACGATTCGAACTCATGACCTATAGGTCACACGATGATAACTTAACCGTTGCTCCAAGATTTTCCCTTCATAATAATAGTCATTACTAATATTAGCTGTAATGTTACATTTGCATAACCACATAATATGCTAAACAATTCCATTCTTTATTGGGCAGAAGTCATTATCACATTAATCCGTAATATTTGTATAGGCGGGTCGCTCTCTTAATTCGGGCATCAAATTCACTCTTCTTTGGCCATTGCCACACGGATAATACACTACTCTTTCTGTCACATAAAAAGCCATTTTCAAACTCCACCCATAACCACTAATCCCATTTCCCCCCTAAATTAAAGTCTTTGACTTTAATTCCCTCTCTCTATCTATCTTTCTTTTCTTTTCTCTAATAATAAGATGCCAATCCACTATTCCACTCCACTTTATTCTCTACTTCTTCTCCTCAACTTTCTTCTTCCTTTTTCCTCACCATAATCTTCGAATCAGTTCTTCACACTTTACCAGTTTTCTTTTAACTGTCACAAGTACACGTGTCTTGTAAATGTGTTCACACCAAAATTGGTGTTTCAAACTTGTCAACTTTCTTCTGCTTGATCAATCTTAACACACACACACACACAGAGTAGAGTGAGGAAGAGGGATATGGGTTCAGTAGATTTGGATGATATAATAAACCGTTTAATTGAAGTTCGACATAGACCAGGGAAACAAGTTCTGTCTGAATACGAAATCAGGCACCTTTGTCTCAAATCTAAAGAAATTTTCTTGCAACAGCCTAATCTTCTTGAGCTTGATGCACCTATCAAGATCTGTGGTACATGCACTCTTTTAAAATTTCATGTAATCTCTGTTCTTTAGTTTAATTTTTAATGGAATTTGAGTTCCCTGAAGTGGGTTTGAGTTTGTTGCTGCAATTCTTAAAGTTGGTGTCTTTTATTTTATATAAAGATTTAGTCTTTGATTCTTTTTTAGATTATTTTTTAAAAAGCAATATTGGTTGTTGACTTTAATTGGGTTCTGAGAGCATGAGGTTTAATGCTTGAAATTGATGTTATTGTTTAAATTCATGATTAGGTTGAAGGGTGTCACTATATGCTTAGTCTGAATACAGTTTTTGATAGTCATGTTAAGTTGTACCTAGCTAATAGTTTCCTTCAGATTACAACGACAACAACAACAACAACAACAAACCCAGTGTAATCCCACAGGTGGGGTCTGGGAGGGTAATGTGTACCCAAACCTTACCCCTACCTTGTTAAGGCAAATAGGTTGTTTCGGATTGAACCTCGGCCTTCAGATTAACATCATGAATTGGCTAGTTTTACTCTGGCTTGCATTATACAACTGTGAAATTGGCCTTTTGCATGTTTCTCTTTTACACAATTCTCATTCCAATTTTTCTATGATCCTTTTCCTAAGTGAGCAACTTGACTAGTCCTTGCTTCTTATTATCTATATTTTGTCCAAGGGAAGGTAGATGTTCAGCAGGAGACTGCTTCATTTACTTCACTTCTGTAAAGAATGCATCCTCTACCTTACAGTCTAATTCCTGAGGGTTTTCTAGTGCTATTATTTGGCTGCTGCGTTCCTTTTGACTTTCAGTTCTCCTCTTTTTCACCAATGGAGCAAGGCAATGATCACCACCCCTCCTCTTTTATTACCCCTAGATTTGCTCACGCCGTGTTGAGCTGGATAGGTAGTCGTAGTATTTTTGAATTAGCACTAAGTGAGTGCTGATATGTACATTCTTTTTGGATGACAAATGATGAAGGCAGTTTCTAATATAAATCTATTAAGTTAGTCCAATTGTCCAAAAGCTACGAAGTTCAATCATTTGTGAAATGAGTGTGTGAAAGCGTTCAAGACTATGATCGTTCCTTTCCTTCCATATTATCCATAGGATGCAGGCACGCATAAATTATAATGCACCAGACAGTTTTGAGCTCTCTCCCTTTTTCTCTCTGGTCAAACCTAGTCTTAATCTTGATTCTGGAACTCATTGTTCAAACTAAAGACTCTCCGTTTTGGTCCTTAATTGGTTCATTCTGTTACCTAATTTAACTGAGCTTTCCTTTTAATGCAGGCATTCCCTCTCTAGATGGCTGTGCAATTAATATGTGGAGTCCAACTTAAATCATTGTTAGGTTAAGCTTTTATCGAGTTGTAAATTCTGTAGGTCATCTTGAGATTTACCAATTTGCCAGTCATCAGTTCATAAACTAATCAAAGTGTTTTGCTGTTTGTCATAAATTCCACATTACAAACCGACAAACTCTATTAGTTAACATGAAATTTTACCTATTACAGTGATGTGTTTTATGATTTTCATACTATCTATTTAAGGTATGTCTATTCTGTTGAACCAAACTTGCATGTTTCAATTATACGGTTGTAGAATGAACCAGCAGTATCTTCTAGGTTTGCTTACACTTTTTCTGGAAAACAAGTCTTCCATTATTAGCTTATACGTCCTCATTCCTATTGAAAATAAGTAACAGTAGTGCAAGAAATTAACAACTAAATTCAACAAAGAAAATGCAACTTCAATCTTTAGTTATTGGTTAATCTTATATTCTAAGTGCATTTATTCAACTGAGATTTTGCCCTTTTTTGTGTTGTGAAAATGGAAGTAAAAGACCTAGCATTTTCCCCCGACTTGTTCGAAACTGAACAGTAAGCAAAAAAATTTAGAAAATAAAAAATAAAAAAGGAAGAAATAAACTTAGCAATTGGCAAGTCATTAAGAACATGTTTCTATGTTAACATTTTCCAAATTATGGTTTTACATAGCCAATATCAAACTGACTTGTCACTTTCCACTTTTGAATACCAAAATCAAGTAATATTAAAGCGCAGGTTGTATGTGATTCCGTTTGGTTTGGTGTGTTTGGTCAGTTTTAAAATATTAAACTGAACCCTACATTAACCTTTGGTGAGATTTAGTGTGGCACACATTTCTTTGGAGCATTTTGATTTTGATAATATGAGATTGGTTAGGCAAGTGCATAGATGAGCTGATAAATTTGGCAAAGTGGTTGTTAATAATGATTTGAAATTCAACTATCAATGTGCATTTCTAGTTAACTGTTAAAGAGTAACTTTTGGGGGGGGGGGGGGGGGGGTTCTTAACTTGTTTGGGTAGGTAATGACATGAAAATCTGAAATTACTATCATCTTATAATTGAGTTGTCCTCCCTTTCCACAAGAGAAGTATTTCTATTACCTGCTCAGCAGGAATTCTTAAGATCAACCAAATATTATCCAAATATAATCCATTCTGTTCAAACTTGGACCTGTTGATACAAGAACCAGCCACCTTGCTGGTTTAGGTCATACCTTTTTGGTAGCTACGATAAGACTGGCTGAAACTGAAAAACTGGTGAATTTACTATTCCAAATGGTGGCCAAGCGGGTTTTCATGGCATAAAGAAACTATTAGAGTTTTAATTATCCGCTTTGCTTTCTCTCATTATCTTCTTCCTAGTGGAAAACCTTGCAAATCCTTCCTCAACAAGAAAAGTTGGTTAGCAGTGTAACATCAAGAATTTTCTCGAAAGTTGCATCATCCATATCTACATCCCATATCCAATTAAATTTGGTTGTAAAAGCATCGGTTCAGCACTCACAAGTCACTGACACTCTGCACTTTTGTACATTTCTTCCGACTGAAAGAGCTCTCTCAGAAGATCTAAGCTCAGTGTATCCATCGCTTCAAGTTGTGCATGTATCCTGATTGCCATTTTTCTTCATTTATTCAATTTTGTTGTTAATTTTGGTATAGTTCTATTTTCCAAGTTGCCCTCATGTCTTTGCTTCTCATTGTCAGTTTTGGGGGACCAATATTTGGTTGTAACCCCTTAAAAGATTAAAATATATGTTAAAACATTGCTTGCTATTTCTCTCTTTTTTTTCTGGGAAGAAAACATAACTTCTTATCTAATTCTTTTCATGGGTGCCATGCTCGGCTAGGGGATATCCATGGTCAGTATTCTGATCTACTGAGGCTATTCGAATATGGTGGATTTCCTCCAAGATCCAATTACCTATTCTTGGGCGATTATGTGGATCGTGGGAAGCAGAGTCTGGAAACAATATGCCTTATGCTTGCATATAAAATAAAGTATCGTGAGAACTTTTTCCTTTTGAGGGGAAATCATGAATGTGCTTCTGTGAATCGTATATATGGATTCTATGATGAGTGTAAACGAAGGTTCAATGTTCGACTGTGGAAGATATTCACAGATTGTTTTAACTGCATGCCTGTGGCAGCTCTGATTGACGAAAAGATATTGTGCATGCATGGCGGACTCTCCCCCGAGCTTTATCATCTGGATCAGATAAGGAACCTCCGCCGACCAACTGATGTTCCAGAAGCTGGACTCCTTTGTGATCTTTTATGGTCAGATCCTAGTAGAGATGTGAAAGGGTGGGGAATGAGCGATAGGGGCGTGTCCTATACCTTTGGCCCAGATAAGGTGACAGAATTTCTTCAGAAGCAAGATCTTGATCTCATTTGCCGTGCCCACCAGGTTCAGAAACTGAGTGCTTCCAGTTGTTGCTTTTTCCTTCCTTTTCTTTTCAGAATTTTGTTTCTTAAAATTTTACGGTTTATTTGTACTTGATGTAGGTTGTGGAAGATGGATATGAGTTTTTTGCTAACAGACAGCTAGTGACTATTTTCTCAGCCCCTAATTATTGTGGAGAGTTTGACAATGCTGGTGCTATGATGAGTGTGGATGAGACACTAATGTGCTCTTTTCAGATATTAAAGCCGGCAGAGAAGAAGCCTAAGTTTGGATTTGGAAGCACCACTTATAAAAATGGAACTCTAACCAAAACAAAGGTAAATCTTTCTTCACTGAATACCTTTTGTTACGCAGAAAAAGGCAGGGTGTCGTTGGTTTATCGATCCTTGGTTCGTGGACCTGTAAAATGTGGATGCTGGGTCGGGGTTTGGTTAACTTATCGGTCTTTAACTTGATCTATTTGGAGCACCCAACATTCTTTGCATACCCCCTTAAGTTCTTTGGTCTTCCTCTTTTTGAGGAAATAGAAAAGGTGGCGCCACTTGGACGTTGAAATTTCAATGTTGAATGTATAGCCTGCACTCACTTTTTCAGCTCTCGAAATCATGCAAGTTCGAGCTATGGACTTTTAAGGGATGATGGACCAGGAACACATTAATAAAGAGTAGCTTCAACTCTTCCGACTTAAATCTTCCCAATTAAGAATTGCTCTTCCAAACCACCCCCGAACCTCTTGGAAACCAAAATCAACCATACTCGCAAATCATAATACATCATATGAAGCTACTCACTGTCTCAAATCATAGAGTGAAATGCTAGAACTCAAAACGACCGGTCGGATCGTTACACGTCTCACTATTGGAACTTCGTCGCCTTCTGAGTTAACTTGGTCAATGGGGCAGAAATAGAGGAAAAACCCTCTACAAATCTCCAATAGTAACCTGCCAGAACCAAGAAACTTCGATAAATATCTTTGTTATTTATTTGTATTTCCTCCCTTTCTCAGAGGCATCCTTGTGACTACTTATTTTTGTGGCCACAGTTTTGCTTCTTCGTGTTCATATACATTTTTATTTCTTAATACCATCTTTATAGTGCTAGTTTAACATTACATCTAAATTTCTTGCAGTCATTTATGGGTAAAATAGGATGACATGCGACGAACACTTCAGTTTTATCACCTCAATGAGCTCCGTGGCATGCAGCCTTGTCAGATATCAGGCTCGGGTTGGAAGCATCAAAGAAGACTCGGAAGATGAAGATACCTATGCATGATAGGAATCGAGAAATCTGTGACAATTCTGATTGATGTGTATAATATAAACCAAAATCTGGTGAACGCGGCCTCTAGTATTCACCAGCAAAAAGGTTTACTAACTTTTCACCCTCTTATTCAGGGAACTTTCGTGTGCAGTCTGATACAGGAGAAAGGATGATACCGGTTATGTGTAGGAGTGTAAACGAGTCGGGCTGTTTGTGAACAAATCTTCAGCTCAAGCTCGTTTATTGAACGAGTTGAGCTGAGCTTGTGCTCAGATTTCAGCTTGAAATAGTTATCAAGCTAAGCTCAATGAAACTCAGGTTGTTTGTTAGTTCATGAACATTTTACATTGCAAAAATATGTACCTGTTTGTGTGATATATACATGCGCGCACGCTCTCTCTCTGTGTGTGTGTTTTGTGTTCTTCTCTCCCAATATTGAACTCGGTTGAAGAGTACGATTGCTCCTGCTACTGTAAAACAAGCCGGAGACGTTTAACAACCACCCCTCAGTTCCAAATAAGTGAAGATCAATTATATGAATTCTCACTGATTATGTTACTCCATTTAAATTCATTTTAGGTCAACTGGAGATATTCACCAACCATACGAAAATAGTTTGGAAACTTTGCTGTTTCTTCTAGCCTGTTATCCTCTCTCTTTTTTGCCCCAGCAAAGGAGGAGGGCGTATCAATTCGTTAAGTAGTGGTAGGTTTTCAGACTAGGTTATTATGAAAACCGGAATCAACTACCGATGATTGCATCATGGTAGGCTGTCTACGTCACACTCACGTAGGGTGCAGCCCTTTTCCGAACTTTGCGTGGCGGTATGCTTTGTGCCCCAGACTGTTCTTTTTTACTATGAAAACTGGAAGTGTTGAAAATTATGTTTGGAAAAGAAGGTGAATGATTTTTGAGGTGAATTTATTAGTACTGCATGCTTGGGAATTCTGAGAAACTTCATTGCTTGTCCTGTATATGCTAATTAATATTATTGAGTATTAGTTACTAAGAACACATAAAGAATCTATAGTTTCTTTTTAAAAATTTCCTTATTGTGGACTTAATACTTTAGTGTATACCATGCACAGTATTTACTACGTTATTACTTTGTCATTAGAAAAATAGAAACATGACTTATACCGATGTATCATATTAATGCTATTATTGTTTAACCCAAAAAATAGTTTTCAAGGTCAAAGCAATAATTTTATATGACAGGCCACAAGCAACCGATTCAATCCGAAAGATATAAATTTTCGTTAATGCAACATGATAGAGAAGTGAAAAATAAATTTAATGACAGATAATATAATAACAATAAAGCAAAGAAGAAAGAATTCTTATTGAATGATCCTTGGTAGGATAATGAGCTGAACAGAGCTTGAAGGGCCGAACTATGGCTAATTTGGGAGCAATATGCTATAAATTACAATGTATAGAATTGTAGAGAAGAAAATTAGATTCCCCAGATGGTGGGTAAAAGTATGTCTATTAATAGGGCTAAATCTAGGTAACTATTCTCCTTGAATTACGGGGCCATTATGAGCATTTACTCAATCCATTTGTTACTTTTGGAAGACTTGTATCAGCTGTGTAAATGCTGGAATTCCGAAACTGATGAGTTAATTCCGTAACTGATGAGTTAATTCCATAACTGATGAGTTAATTCCGTAGCTGATGAGTCAATCCCGTGCCTGTTGAGTCAATCCCGTACCTGTTGAGTCAATCTCGTGCCTGTTGAGTCCATCTTGTAATTGATTGCCTTGTTCTGACCGTCACAATCATTTATTGCATTTATTGTACGTTACATGATTGATTTGTAACTAATTGTAACGACCCGACCGGTCGTTTGCCCTTTTAGAACCCCGTTCCCCCAATAACACTCTCCGTACTTGCTTTAACTAATTTACGACCTGCGGGGATGGTAGGATCGGGATTTGGAAGAGTTTGGATTGAAATATGCACAATTGACTCTTTAGGATTTTCTTAAAAGGCTAAGTTTGACTTTGGTCAATATTTTGAGCAAACGGGCCCGGGTTCGTGTTTTGACGGTTCCGGAAGGTCCGCAGGAAAATATGGGACCTCGGCGTGTGCCCGAAATAGAATTCCGAGGTCCCTAGCCCGAGTAATGAATTTTTATTTGGAATTGTTAAACTGAAATTCTATGGATTTAAAGAAACTAATTAATGATTGACCACGTTGGTATTAGGCTCGTATGTTGGTTCCGAAGCCCAGTACAGGTCCAATATAACATTTAAGACTTGCCCGCAAAATTTGGTGTCAATCGGAGTAGTCTAAGGGCGTTTTGGCCCGTTAGAGGAAAATTAAGAACTTGAAGTTCATAAGTTTGATTCAATTGGTTTTAGGGAATGATTCTTAGATTTAGCGTTATTTCGGGCATTCCGAAGGTTTGAGTAGGTCCGTTTTGTGATTTTAGACTTGTCGGTATGTTCGGGCGGGGCCCGGGAGCCCCGAGCGTCAATCGGACGAGGTTCGAGTGAAGTGAAAAATTATTAGAAGTGCTGAAGCTGCTGCTTCTGTCATAACCGCACCTGCGGTTTGTGGACCGCAGGTGCGAGACCGCAGGTGCGGTCCATCTGTCGCAAATGCGGCCTAGGGGAAGGCCAGGCAAAATCGCAGAAGCGGTCCTCCAGCCGCAGAAGCGGCCAAAAGACCGCAGAAGCGGTCCCAACTCCTCTTGGCCTGTTCCGCAGGTGCGGACGTTTTCTCGCAGAAGCGGGACCGCATCTACGTTTTCTCGTAGAAGCGGGACCGCAGATGCGGTCCCCTAACCGCAGATGCGGAAATCGCTGAAGCAGTGAGCTTCATTTAATACGGGTTCCAAACCAATTTTTTGACACTTTTCACTCTTCCATTGGTTATTTTAGGAGCTTTTGAGAGAAGATTTCCACCTAGCATCTTGAGGTAAGTTTATCCCATCTATCCTTAGTTTAATACTTATATCTTAGGTAGATTAAACACTAGAATTTAGGTAAATCAAGGGGTTAGAGCAAAACCTAGGGTTTTAACAAAAAATTAGATTTAACTACGAAATTTGTTATGAAACGGATTAGAAATTGTATATTAATGAGCCTTAGGTTATAGAGAACAACTTCCTTCGAAAAGTTTCGGAATCTGGGCACGTGGGCCCGGGGTTGGATTTTAGGAAACTTGTGTTAATGGTTGGGAAATTGCTTAAATAGTTAGAATTCGATTTTTGTGAGCTTATATTGATTAGTTCCTACCTCATTTAACTAGTTTGGGATCGTTCGGCTCCGAATTGAGGGTTTGGGCTCGTTCTTGGTATTGGAAGTGCACTTGGAGCAAGGTGAGTCTCCTTTCTAACTTTGTAAGAGGGAATTGTCCCCATAGGTGTAATAACTGAATAATTTGCTACTAAATGCGGGGGCTACGTACGCACTAGGTGACGAGAGTTCGTACGTAGCTACTATCATGTTAATTGTCCGGGTAGTCTAGGACCCGTATCATGCTATAATGTGAATGTCTCTATAATTCCTCACCATTGTGATCACTTAGGAGATGCTAGAAATTTGGAAAGGAATATAAACGAATATATATACTTGTTGGACACTTGTATAAATTTATTTGGAAATAAATGCGCATTCATGTGATTCTTGATATTAATTGACATTTGTGGATCGGGCCGATCGCCTCGGTAGAAATAGATGCATCTATGGTTCGCGCCATTCGACCCTCTGGCAGTGCACAATTTACTTTCTGTTGGATCGGGCCGTCGACCTCGGCATAATGTGCGCATGAGACTTATGTATATGTGAAATCTTATCCATGACTTGTTCTGCTAAATACTTGAAATGTGTACGGTTAGCTGTAAATTGTTAAGGACATGATTTATTACCTCTTGCTGCATGCTGTTGATTATTTGTAACTATCATGCCTAGCAGAACACTTTATTATATTATTTGACCCTAGTAAGTGTCAAGTCGACCTCTCGTCTCTACTTCTTCGAGATTAGACGGGATACTTACTGGGTACATATTGTTTATGTACTCATACTACACTTCTGTACTTAATTGTACAGGATCTGAGGCAGGTACATCTGGCTATCAGTTTGGTGCGCACCCCTGATTCATAGCTTGAGACTTCCACGGTGAGTTGCTCCCTTCCTGAGACGTTCAGCAGCTTGATGGAGTCTTTTCCTTACTTTTGATGTCTATTCTATCTCAGACAGTAGGATAGTTTTATTATTTTGTATATTCTACTAGTTGGCCATTACTTGTGACACCAGGTCTTGGCACACACATTAGTAAACTATCATTTTGGGGATTGTATAACTATTTTGGTATATTATTGTTCATTTCTAATTTGACTTGAGCTTTATGAATTTCTATACTTACTTTTGGTAAAAAATAAAACTGAGAACTAAATTGCATTTTCCGTGTTGGCTTGCCCGATAATGATGTTGGGCGCCATCACGATCTATTTTCGGAAATGGATCGTGACAACATGGTATCAGAGCACTAGGTTCACGTAGGTCTCACAAGTCATGGGCAAACCTAATAGAGTCTTGCGGATCGGTACGGAGACGTCTGTATTTATCTTTGAGAGGCTATAGGGTTTTAGGAAAACTACTCTTTATTCATTTCCTCTCGTGCAGTGGTCAGTATACTAAGTTTCCTTCTTTACTCTCTCACAGATGGTGAGAACACGCACGGCTGATGTTCCGGACCCGGGAGGGGCTGCTCCCCCCGCTACTAGAGGCCGAGGCAGAGGCTGGGGGAGGGCACTGGCCTGAGGTAGGGGACGAGGGCGTCCTAGAGCTGTCCCAGTAGCACCACCAGCAGATCCTGCGGGAGACCCTATTATTGAGGAGCAGGGCGAGGTGCCCGCAGCCGAGCCTACCCCGGCGGATTTTATGACAGCACCGGGCTTCCAAAAGATCATGGGCCGTATGCTTCCGTTCATGGACACTATGACTCAGGCTGGTCTATTTCCAGCAGATCCAGCTACATCACAGGCAGGAGGGGGAGCACAGACCCCTACTACTCAGGCTTCTGGGCACGCAGCTGCAGTGTATCAGACTCCGGGTGCTCTACCCACAGATGGGGCCCAGCCAGTTGCTGCAGCGACACCCGAGCCCAGACCAGCTGTAGATGGTGACCCCCAGAAGCTGTTGGATAGATGGACTAGACTTCACCCTCCTGTCTTCGGGGGTGAGCGCCATGAGGATGCTCAGGACTTCATTGATAGGTGCAGGGACAGACTGCACAACATAAGGATATTGGAGTCGCATGGGGTTGACTTCACTACTTTTCAGCTAGAGGGCAGGGCCCGCAGATGGTGGCAGTCTTATGTTCTAGGCAGACCAGTAGGTTCTCCTCCTATCACTTGGAGTCAGTTCACGCAGTTATTTCTGGACTGGTATATTCTGCCCTCTGAGA